GCGTACACAAGTTCCCAACAAACTTAATGTCTGCCGGGTGTCCTCGAAACCCGAATCATCCACGTTTCAAACAGGATCCCAATCACAGTCATTGCATATTACAACATTTTTCAATAGACATACCAGAGGTAAATAAGCGGAAGACTTAAGTTTATTATTACAAACCAGTTGTTTCAAACTTACATAACCATAAGTGTCATACAACCATAGTAGCGAGATAATATTACATTAACATTATTTATTTCACACAAACTAGTGCCTTGTCCAAAGGCCATTCATCATTCCTCATCGTCATCGACTTCATACACTGACATGCAGCAGGGACCAAAACAAGCCTGCGCATGCGACTCACCTGTAACAAGGGTTAACAAACCCTGAGTACAAAAAGTACTCAACAAGACTGACCCGATGAAAAAGGGCGAAGGTCTTAGGGATGCAGGTGTTGGGTCAAGGTAAGGATGTAGAAAGATTAAAAAATTCTTTGCCAAAAGCTTACTATTCTTGATCCTAGTTTCAAGTTTTACCACTAATTATTTTAGTTCAATATCTCCAACTAAGTGTTCATATCCCATGCACCAATCCTTCTCATTCCATTCTTTTTCTCATGTTTTAGTAATTCACCAGTCCTATATTGCTTCTGTAATGAATCGAGTCTCCATATCCGCGGAGCACCGGCAATTCGAATTGATTCAAGTCCCAGCTGGGGATTCCTTATCACATGACATATGTAGAACTTAATCTTGCATATATCAACCTCGCTACCGGATCTTCCCATACTAAGCCGTCTCCACGCCACCCGAGAGCACAGCACACCTCAAATCCGGCCACATTCAAGCCACGAGGGTACACGCGCTTCTCCCGCCATCTCACCACTCCAAAGCGTGGGCATTCGTCTTAGTATCGGATTAGCCAAGTAGGCTTACGAGTATGTGACCAAGACTACAAAGTGTCTCGTTCGGAAGATCCACAATGAGTGGCCTTTAAGCGACATAGTCGGCAACATTACCCAACATTCAAGATAAGCCACCCGACTAGTCTCTAGTTCATTCTATCTTCTTTCTTTCTTTCTTTGGCCAAGATGCCATCTTTGATTGTATCGAAACTTTTACTTTGAAAACCTACCATAAAGCATACTAAGCAATTCTACGCCTTTGTAAATGAAAACATCTTCAAGGATGGTAAACAATTAACAAGGTAGGTAATGCATCAAGTAGGCAACATTTGAAGTAAATCAACTTAATGCAATAAGTAACATAAGTGATAAACTTTTCAAAGTAAACAAGGTAATGGTTTAATGCATAAACAAGGGGCTTGCCTTCATTGACGATCTCGTTGTTAGGATCAATTACCACAATTACCAAATCCCGCGACAACCGGGTATTCTTCCAAAGACTTGTTCAACTAGAATCGTTTCACTCTCGGGTTCTACACGAAATGATAACATATGCTTTAACATGATGATAATGTAAACATGATGCTTTCACGGTACATGAAATGTAATAACACCCATAAATGATTTTATTTTCACTGAGACAGGTTGCAAGCCAACAAAACCAACTTGCAATCCTACCATCAAGAACCATACATGGGACTTGACCAAATGGATCTTGAAACCCTACTGGTCACACAACCTGACCCAAACAAAAATTAAACCCTAATCCTAACAATTAGGGTTGCTTTTATTAACTTTTAATTAATTTAAAATAAGCCCAAAAATAAACTTGTTCCAAATGACCTCAAAATTTTATGTAATCTTCCTCATATCAAGTTAGTGTACCAAAATAAATTTCATAATTTTGGAGCTATACAGTGGCCTACAAAAATCATGGAAATTGCATTTATTATTTAATGGACTGAATTTTTGAACATTAAAATTTATTCACATTTCAAGTTTCAAATTTTTAAACCATATTAGAGCATGTACAGAAGCTACACAAAATTTTTCAGAATTTTTGGAGCTATGATTATTTTCCTACAAATTTTCAAAGATTCAGCACTATTCAAAATCGAAAATAACAAAAGTCACTATTCTCTCTTGCTCTCTCACCGATACCGGCCCCACATGTCATCCCTAACCTCGGGCTTTGACCGTGGGTCATGACGGGCGCTGACCGACGCTAAGCGACCGACGGTGAGTGAGCTCAAGCATGACGACCATGGTATCTAAACACTCACAAAGACTAGCCGCGTCAATCTATGGGGTTTCAGAGGTGGATTACGACATGGAACCAGGCTCACGCCATCCATGGCGGACGTGGTGCCATGGCAGCGGTACGCCGGCGAAACAAGGCCGGTTGAGATCAAACAAAATGCTCAGAAAGGATCAGCAGCTCACCCCGGATGTGATGAAGCAAAGAATGAGACTGGAGGCGCTACGGTGACACGGGTCGACGGTGACCGTGCTCACGGCGGAGAAGACTTCGTCGGCGACGTAGTTCCGGCGACTGCAGTGGGCAAAATGACCAAGCAAGAGCGGAATAAGGACCACAGCATCAAGACGAAGCTATAGAACCTACAGCATCAGATTATTGTGCGGTCCTTGTGGTGCAGTTGTAGCAGCAACTGCACCTATGATCCCTTTGGCCTGTAAGACTAAGTCAACTGATTGTAAAGTTAAAACCTAAAACTGCACCTACTAATCCCTTTAACCTGTAAGACTAAGTCAACCGATCGCAAAGTTAAAACTCTATAATATTAGTATACAGTTAGCATTTAGCAACAGTAATAAAACGGCAAAACTAAGAGATTTCCACCTTGATGTTGATGTGTGTGCCTTTGTCAGATGAGTTAAAAGCAATACACAACCAAACATTAGTAATGCTTTGTAGTATTGTGTAATATGACAATTTCATCGATTTCATCAGTTTCAAGCACAAAAAAAATATGTCAAAATGTAGAAAATATAGATGAAAATCAACAATTCTTATTTAAAGAAAAATTCAACAAATCTTGCCACTACAAAAACGATGCATTGGTTTAACTTTATCTTATCTGTAACAAATAAGCTGAACATCACACTTCCAACATGAATAAATGTGCACAGGCTTGAACATTTTCTTTTTGTGCCATGACCACAATTGAAAATTATGTGCACAGATGGGATGCTTTTGTGCAATGACCATATTTCACTAAATGATAATACCAACTTGTACTCCCTATGTTCTATTTACAAGTCCTTTTGGGCATGAACACAGCCCATAAAGCTTATGGCTTATGCAAAAGCTGCAGATGAATTGATAGCATTGTATAATAATTGCAAAATGAGTTGAGTAGAAGGGAAACCACAAAACAGTAATGAGAGTAATTCTAAAGAACCACTTAAAACATATTTCACTGTTATAGGTCAATAGGCATATTCGGATGAGTTCAATTAGTTACACATATAGGGTTCAGGTAAATGACTCATGCAAAGTGACCTTAGTTACTACCATAACAACCAAGATTCAACCATTAGTTACCAGTGATTGCAAGAAAAAGTTATTTCAGCTCTAAACTCAAAATTTAAGCAGGCTAGGTAGGGAAATTAAACCATGGGCTGTTACCTGACATGAAAAAAGTTTTTAGAAATCTTTATCCAGAGCTTTGATCGTCAATAAAGATTTTCCCTAACAGATCATAGAACACAGAAAGTAAAACTGGCCAGTAAGCTATACAAAGTAGCCATATACACATAGTGAAGAATGGATCAAAGCTGTCTAAATTAGCAAAACTTTGCAGTAAAGAGATATGAATATATGTTTGTCTGTTTCCCCCAAACAAATCTCCAATAACCCATAACTAACTGTCTGGGTTAGCCTTCCAAGGCTTCACATGACTGGTGGAACTATTTTGGTGGTGCACCAAAAGACAGTGCAAGACAGTATGATAGACTTGATGCATGACAGTATTGTGGAAAGCCTCAAGGTAAATTAAATGCCTCAAGCTTGGCAATACAACTTTTACTGCTATACATGGATAAGAACGAACAATTTGTTAAAGAAATAAAAGTAATGAAAAACTGTTCACCATCATTTGCTCTTAGTAAAATTGGTATGAACTTGAATTTTTCAAATTTATATACAAGTTACTAGTTATTACTCCCTCCATCCACGAAAGGATGCAAGTGCCACTTTTCGAGGAGTCAAACGATTTGAAGTTTGACCAAACTTATATAAAAAAGTATTAGCATTTATGATACAAAATAAGTAACACTAAATTAATTATGAAATATATTATCATAGTAAACCTAGTTGGAGACATAAATTCTAATATTATTCACTACAAACTTAGTCAAAGTTAAGCGAGTTTGACTTGCACAAATCCTATAGTTGCATACTTTTTGGGACAGAGGGAGTACATGCCCTCATTCCAAATTGTAGGTCGTTTTGGTTTTGTCCTAAGTCAAATTAGTCTAGCTTTGACCAAGTTTACCAGAGAATGCAAATGCATCAACATCTAGCACATCAAATTAGTTTCATTAAATCAACCTTGAAATATGTATTGATAATACATTTATTCAAGAATTGTAAATGTGAATATATTTATCTATAAACTTGGGACAAAGTTAGAGAAATTTGACTTAGGACAAAACTAAAATCACTTACAATTTGAAACGGAGGGAGTAGTATCTGTGGCATAACTAAGTGTTACAAAAAAGTAAAAAAAAAGTGTTTATGCGTGTTGAGAAACCATATACCATTGATGTTAGTGAAATGACAAATAATAATGTCAGGCACAATGGACTCCTAAGTTTTAATTTAAATTTCAGGCACACCGGACTCTCTTAAGTGTTTGTTAATTTAAAATCCTCCCAAGTGTTGAATTTAAACTTAAGCATACATAGCATCATTCTACACAGAGAGGAAGTGGATAGCGTTATTCTCTATGGATCTGGTTTCTCTATATTGGTAGGAAAATCCTCTATTGATTTGAAGTGTCACTATTTCTGAATTGGTAGGGGGGGGATGACTGATGATCTGCAGCTGCAAACAGTCATCTACCCTGTCAGTCACCATCCAATTTCAATATACCCAAACAGCAAGGTAAATTGGACTCCAAAGCCCCTAAATGCAACCAAAAAAAAGGAAGATAATCAATGTGAGGAGTAGTTTGGACAAGTTAATATACATGTGCAACTGTACTCAAAACGAAACGAACATTTTACTCCATTTAAATTAGGTTTGTACAATTATCTTTCAGAATTTGTAAAAGATAGCCAACAGTGAGCTAAAGGATTGAAGAGATATTTAATGTCATTTGCATGGTTCCCACAGTCCAACAATTTGCCAGTCAACCTTGAAATTCAAATCAATATGAGTAGTGTTGTCTCAAAGCAGCAAATGGAAATCTGTATCTTCTATTAAAACAAACAATTCATAACTACTTTTAAAATAAATAAACCAGCCGAGGAGAAAGGAAGCTTTATATTAAGGACTTAGGAAAAAACTAGACATGCTATGGCAAGGACTAGAACTTAGATCGTCTAGGTGTGCATCCACACCCTTCACCAACTCAGGCAGGTTCAGTTTCTAAATCCTAATGTGTTGCTACTTATGAAGTAATCATTTCCTAGCAGTATCAAGTTACAAGGATTTGTTGATCTCTTACCAAAGTTTACCTTTACAACTTTCAAATATATGTATTAAGTCACTTGTTACCAACAGTAAGGAACTGGAGGGAGGAAATAAAAGCATCCCTATCTTCTGAAGAAAAATATAAAATAGTGACCTTAGCAAGCACTTTCTCCTCACAGGCAAAACTAACCATTATGACATATTATATCTCGATCATATAGTAAATGGGAAAAAGAATCAACAGGAACATATCCACATATGAAACATAGAATCTAACAACAGCAAAATTACAGCATAAGATTAACGACTGAAACAGGCATAACACAAACCAGATACAGACTATTTCACGAAAATAAGAGGATGTGAGAAGCCAGTTGCATGTATAGTATCTTACAGCAGGGAGGATATCTAACTGGCCTTCTCTGAGCCTCTTGATCAGGGTATCCAGAGATTTCTTCTTTGGGTTCTGCCTGGTACCCCTTGTCCCAAACGTTGAGAAATAACTCTCTGAGGTATCTCTAAACTTCTCTGAGATGATTGCAACCTTTCTATAATCTAGCTTGTTATAGCTCTTTTCACGGATCACTGGATTTAGGAAATTCTCTGGACTATTGCTCATAGGAAGATTCACTAGCTGCCTTGCTTCCACTAGTGCACCCTTCATTTCATTTTTTGCAGATTCTTGACCTGAGTCCACAAACAGGCTAGACATGCCCTCTGCAAATGTCTCAAACATTTTGAGATCAGTATCTATACCAGTGACCGCATTGGCATTGAACTGCTTTACTGAATCGTTCAAGAAGAGCTCGATGATCCTTTCAGAGATGTGGGCAAGCACTGCCACAAGTACACGTCGGAGCACGGGAAGGGGAAATAATAGTGTACTTATCAGCCGTACCGTTTTAGCGAAATAACAGTGTTTTTCTCTCACAATAAATCAGCATCAGCATCAGCATCAGCATCAGCATCATCGTTTTTTCAGGCAGCCGGACAGGGCCATAGCTAATGTTGGCGCAGAAACTATCTAGAATTACTACTCCTGTTAGGAGCGAACACGGATTTGCATGCATACGGAATTCACACGCATACACCATCGTATCTGCCGGTCTGCATGCCTTCTGCCCTTGCACCAAAGCTAAGTAATCGATAGAGCAAATCGCCACGCGTTTTGTTGACTTAATCCATCGGGGACGCGGATCACCCTCCGCGTACGGCAATTTCCCTACACAGATATACTCCAGCTGCGTGCATACATATACTCCAATTAAATATCAGCAAAAATGATCAAATTTAACTAACCAACTGTTAGCCAAAATAGGATTGGCAAGTAGATGATAGATTGAAAAACGCATATATGTAAACTAAAAAAGAGCAAAAATGATCAAATTTGGAGCGATATGGGCTAATTTAGAGTTGTCCAGGAAACTGTCCTAGGCCGGTTTTGGCAAGGTGCTTGTAGTGTTTAGTAGAAATCGGCCTGATCCGGTTTCAGTCTTAAAAAAACTCATCTGATCTCGTAGTAAACATGTAAATGCGTGTTGAAAAAGTTTTCTACTAGATAAGATCATCGTCGTCTATTTATATGAGAGTTGAGAGGATCATAACCGATTAAAAGATCCATCTATTCAATTGGCAAAAAAAACAATCTACAATATTTTTTTTACCTTTTTTCATCTAGTACTGCTGGCTTTTCATTCTCCGTTGTTGCTGAAGGCTGGTGGTTCAACAACGACGAAGCTCTAGAGCCATCGGGCTGGCTAGGATGTTACATAGCCGTTGCACGGTCCCTCCTAGGCACGTGGGGGTTTCATGTTTCAAGAGAGCTCGTCGATAAGTTTTGCATATCGCGCTCCCAGCAAAGCTCCTCGGTTGACGCGTCTTGTATTTGCATATTGCGCTCAACACGGGAGGCACCAAGTAAGTGTTTGTGTGCGAACATGCTGTTAGGGGATGATTGACTTAAAAGTCGGCTAGGCTGATCTTATGCCTGTCTCTACGGAGTGATCTAATTCTTTAATTTGTTGTTGTGTGACCTACAGTAATTAGCATTAACACTAACAGTTAACAGTTTTTTAATATTAACTAGCTAATCCTGTGGTCTGTTGGTTTGTATTGGCTATCGTATGATATTACGTGTGTTTTGAGGGGGTCCCCTACCCGTCTTATATAGCTGGGGGGTAGGGTTACAAGTCAGTTAGATCTAGGAGATAACCGGTAAGTAATAACAGATTACAGGAATCATGGGATCGAGCATATCCTAATAGATCTCGTAGCATCTTCAGGATATCGCCCTTGACGTCTTGCGGTATACGCCGAGCAGTACCGTGCACCGTAAGTCTTCATCTTGTGGGCTGGACCACCCCTGGCGGCGCAGCCCATGTAGTCTGCCGTGGGTATCCGGGGTCGTACCCTCCCACACACACATTGAGCTTTGCAGCTACCGGCCTTCCTGCTGAGCTCATGGGCGATCGATGCCACCAAGGAGCGATCAGGTTGTACTTGCACGTGTCAACAAAAGAAAAAAAATAAAGCAAACTCATGAACGGTTAGACTCATGCATGTTGCAGCTTCTGTTCCAGCTTTCTACCGTATCCCCTCCAAGCATGTTGCAGCTTCTGCTTCCTCAACATCCCTGCGATGTTACACAGATCACGCCACCCAATTAATTTTGGAAGCCCATCTCTTATCTCTAGACTATAGTGTCTATTACACTCAATAGGAGCCAGATAAGCTAGAATTTGTTTGCATTATTTTTGCACTCCATAATTGCAGAAAAGAAAATTCCTAGTTGCCATTTAAAACACTAACAAATAATCCAATCACACGCTCTACCACAAACTTATACACGCATGAAGGAACCAACTCTCATGTACACGAGCAATTGCACCTTTTACACAGAATTTGCTAATTAACATACAACAACAACAACAACAAAGCTTTGTAGTCCCAAGCAAGTTGGGGTAGGATGCTAATTAATGTACCAAAGAAAAAAATATTATCAGCAGGTGTTTAAAAAAATAGCTAGCACCAGTTTCTACCGAGGAACAATTAATGCAATGGTATTGATTTTGAAAATAGAAACAAACATTACTTTACAGCTCGCACGACGCTAATTCAACAACAACCACGGCAATACTACACGTGATTGCACACATTTGTTTCGCATAGAGTAGGGCAAGAGATTATATATTTTGCCAAAGTTCAATATAGGGCAAACCAAAAAAAAATAATGCCCCAACGGAGACCTTGCCATGGAGGGATGGTTAGGCATCAAACCTGTACACCCTCCTCCGCACCACAAGGTCCTCAATTCTTTCTAGGCCTTCGATTATGCAAAAGCTGTACCAAATAAACTTAATTCAGCCTGTAAGATAGAGGCAGTATTGAAATGACAGTATTTGGGAATGCCTCGAACCTTCGTGGGGCTCTGTGGACTGTTCCTCCATGACAAGCACCACTTCGTCCACGTTAGGATCATTGCAACTCTTAACCAAAACAACTGCAGACCCTGTGGTTGCATAAGACTCAGCTGTGCATTGAAGAAATAAGATCAATGACTGCTTAGGAACAATACCTAGCAGTAAATTTTGAATTAGAGTGCAAAAATAACAGATAGAGTGCAAAAATAAATTTCAGGAAATTTCACCTTCCTCACCCTCCTCCAGTTCGTCCTCTTTGTTGACTCCTTCAAAAACATTCTGCAACGCCATTACCAAACTAACACAATAGTACTACTATCGAACAATTGATTCTTTTCATGTCATCATTGATCCATTATTTGTGGCAACTCACAAACAAAGTACCAAAAGATTTACCGGTTTCAAAAAACAGCAAACATTTATGCTCCTGAGATCCCCTATCTACACCTAACGTTACCCTTCCAAGAAGCAAATGAAAAATATATATATCCTCCTAGAGAATCCAAACCATCGAACTACCGTGACTTCAAACAAAAAAGGAAAACCAAAAAGAATTAGCACAAATGAGAACTCACAACTGCTTCTCCTCGGCGACGATGAAGTCGGCGAAGGACCTGAGGTCGGCAAAGGAGCAGGCACGGTCGCCGGGCCCAACTGCGTAGACCACGCTAGAGTAGTCGGATCCAGGCACCAACGGCAGCAGGGGCCGCTCCAAGTACTTGACCTACACCTGGGGGAACGTGACGAACTTGAGGCTAGTCGCCGCGACTCGTACTCGTACTCGGACAGCCATCGGTGACGAGATCTCCGGCAACGGGGAGGCTTGAGCCGAACAATGCGGCCGGGGCGGCCTGCGCTGCCCAGGAAGCCGCACGCGGAGGTGGCGGCACATGGGCGGGCCGGCAAGCGCGGCTCTGCGCGACCTGGCATGGGCGGCTGCTGCGCGCCCTGGGCAGCCTGGGGAGGGCCGCCGAGCAGCCTGGAGATGGGCGGCAATTGCCACTAGCGGAGAAGATCCGACGGGGCGACGGCGGGGAACCCTAGACACGAGTCACGGGACGGGGAGGGGAGAGGATGATGTTTCATTTTTTCGGAGATGAATTCATATTGAAATTTTCTGTGTGCATTTTTCTAGGTGCACAATGATCAAAAGCTCTCAACGGGGGACATTTTCCTTGGGGGACCTAGTATCCAACAAGTTCTGCCTCAAATACCTCTCCTGTCACTAAGCTTGGCACCAAACTTACATTGGGACTGCAGACGAACCAACAACCTCATCAAATACCTCTCCGGTCACTAAGCTTGGCACCAAACTTACATTGGGACTACAGACGAACCAACAAACACCACTATAGACATAGATCCTAACATTCTTTTGTCTGAAACACATAAATAGTCCCTAATGTTGCGTATTAGCATGCACATACTGTAATTCTGACCTGCTTTGTTAGGTTCTGACATAACCTCATTATTAAAAGTTTTCAGCAACTAATCATAAATAAATATTTCCAATGCGATGTAATTCTAAGATGGAAAATTTACTACTTTTCTTCTTGTAATAAGTGCAACAATATGGACTGACATAAACAGTTTGCATCCTAATCAAAGGCCATAGTATCAGAAAGAATGAAAAGAAGAACAAATGATAAATCAAATTCGTAATTAGCAAACAGATATGTTAACGTTAGTCCACAAGCATGAAAACTTAACAATTGCCATAATAACTGACCTACATATGTAAAACCATCCAGACGATAAATAATGGATAACAGTTACCGAAGCCACGGTGGAGTGCTTTGGTCCATCAGTATGCGAGGTTCCCCATCAGTACCTTGTCACCAGTGCCAATCTGAAATTTCAGAAATTAAAAAGCATAAACAAGCAACAAGATCCACTGTGGTCAGTCGACCAACAAGCTAGCAGGAGCAGATGGAGTAGTTGTACTCGGTCGCGCCAAAGAGGAAGCATTCGGCCTGGCAGAACATGGCGCGGAAGGTCTCGAGCGGCCCTGACGGGGACGCGGCGCGAGGACAGGGAGCCGATGGGAGTCGGGCCTTTCCGTGATCGCCGCGTGCGTGTGATTTCTTTCTTCCGTGATCTCAGCGTGCGTGGGTGAGAAGCCTGCGCGGGGGTGAGAACCCTGCATCACGCCTGGAACATTGACCGTTGGATTTGGTTTGAATGATTTATTAGCCCGTAATTTTAATACGAATTTATGTGTTGTGTACATAATGATCGAAAGTTCTCGGTGGAGGACGTTTTCTTTAGAGGACCAGGTATATTTTTGATTGATCCATCGTAGCGGAGACTAATAAGACCTAACTTTAGACTTCGTGGCACCGGTTTGCGGCGAAGCTGTGGAAGTCGGCCGCCACACCTTAAGGACGGAAGAGGTCATGCAAGCACGCGTACATGTACGGTCGAGTTGCTTAACCGTGTCGACCGACCAGCACGTACGGGGCGTAGCACCTGGATGGCTGATCGGCCGTCACTGATTTGCATACTTTTTTTTTTGTCACCGTTGGACTTGAGAAATAAAAGTCTCGTTCAGTCCGTCCGCGGGATTGCTTTGCACACTGACACGTACGTACATAACAGCAAACAGAGCCGTGGACACGCCAAGCAAACCTTCCTAGGAACCTTCCTCCTGTTGGACAGGATGACTAGGATTAGTTCCGAAGCAACCAGCAGCTAACTATACGACGCCTGTGGTGATCCATTTTATCGATAATGACTTGTACAAGCAAAACAAAAATCTTGTACGCGATTACGCGTGAACGAAATTCACCAAAATCCATCTACGAGCCTTCAATTCCGACCCTATATAAACACGAGCAGGTTCCATCCATTTATTGTATCATCAAATACATCCATCCATCAACGCACCGGCAAGCATCAGCAGATCATCATCAAGCAGATCGAACCCCAAGGCAAGAACCGGCCGGCGACTAGCTAGCGCAACTCGATCGATCGAAACAATGGCGCACCACTTCCTGGGCAGCAAGCACCATGGAGAAGAGGCGTCCAAGGTGACCGACTGGCGCAAGGAGGAGAAGCACCACAAGCACATGGAGCAGCTCGGCCAGCTCGGCGCCGTCGCCGCAGGAGCCTACGCCATGCACGAGAAGCACAAGGCTAAGAAGGACCCGGAGCATGCGCACTCGCACAAGATCAAGGAAGGGGTCACCGCCGCCGTCGCCGTGGGCAGCGCCGGCTTTGCCTTCCACGAGCACCACCAGAAGAAAGACGCCAAGAAGCACCGCAGCCGTGGACACCACCACTAGATCTTATTCAGCCTGTTCGCTCGTTGATTTTAGCTAGGCCTTATCAGTCAGCCAACAGTGTTTTCCTCTCACAACAAACCAGCATCAGCCGGGATTATCAGTCCAGAAACCAAGCAGCGAACAGACCGATTGATTACTTTCATTTACCAGGCGCGCATGCCAAACTCGTTCTATATGTACCGCGGATTCATATAGTATTTTTAGTATACAAATAAATGGGTTCTCCATGTATGACCTATGTTTGATTTTTGAATTTGATTTATTATTGTATATATCTTTTTGTTCGGTTCTTTATGTACACTATGACATAGGTTATTTCATCCTTGTTATTTACTATAACTACAAAATAGCAATCACTACCGGACTATCAATACTGGTTGTATCACTCCCAGTTTATGGCTACGATTGACAGCGATATGCACTAATAAATCGCTGTTGGTTATAGACTTATAGCCACAAACCGACGGTGAAAACTTACCTACACTGCCAGTTCGTTGCAAAATGTATCGCTTGTTTTGTAAAAAAAATCATAACTTTTTCACACGAAGTTGGATTAAGACAAACTTTATATCAAAATTATAGGCATCAAAGAGATCTAAAAACTTGTAGTTGAAAACTTTTTAATTTGAGATGATTTATATGTCCCAATATTAAATATAAGTCCTCAGATTGGATTTGAGATGGCTGACAATCTCGAATGTTGATAAAGTCAACATTAAAGTTGTAGTACTCAATGAGATGCATCTCTCGATCTCCCATTGGCATGGCTCGACGTCCCCACGGCATCTCTTGATCTCCCACTGTATGGCTCGAATGGCATGGCTCGTCCTCCCCGTGACATCCTCAATCTCTCATGGCGTGGCTTGATGCCCCTACGTGGTCTCTCGTTCTCTCGTGGCGTGGCATGACTCGACGTCACCATGACATCTATCTGGCTATCCATCTTCCGTGATGTCACTTGATGTCCTTGTGGCATCTCTCGATCTCTCGTGGTAAGAACATTGTTGGGGGCTACACCTAATAAGATGAACTTCAAATAGGCTACATCGTTGGCTACGACCACTCGACCATGTCTGCTGCTACAACTGCTCGGGCACTCCGTCGATGGCCTTCACCGAGTCGGTCATTCTGCCATCGACAATGTCTCCACCTACGACTACTCGGGCACACCATCGACGCACCCCTGAGTCAGTAATGCCACCTCCGGCAACGTCATTAACCACCACAACTCGGGCATGCCATTGATGGGCTCCCTCAAGTCAATCTTGCCACAAACGACCATGTCTCCGTCTACGATTAGTCCAGCACACCATCGACAGGCTCTCATGAGTTGGTCACACCTCCACTGGCAACGTCCTCGACTATGATTGCTCGGACACACTACTATCATTCCTGACCTGAATCATCACTAGGTATGCTCGACGCGTGCTCAGAATAAGAAGACAATGAATTCAAGTTTACCCACTACACCACAACACCGCTTCACCGTCAGACATCTGACGCTAAAAAATATATTTGGTGATGGATGATCTGACGCTAAAGATAACTCAGAGACCATCTGATGCTAAATCCCTATTTACTGATTGATTGTCTGTCGCTAGAGATATTCATATTTACCGTTAACCCGTCTGTCGCTAAAAAGAGATACACGGTCGATCTATCTGTCGCTAAAAAAATAGACCCCACACCCAGAGCGTGGCCCTGGCGTCCACAGCGTGTCCCATTTAGTCAGAGTGGCCGGCCTAGCATCCATTCACTTGAGGTGGCCCAGAGTTGGCGTGGCCCAGCATTTAAATGTTGAAGCCAAAGGGCGCCTAGCTCAAACGGTTAGGTGACTCAGCGGCACTCCTCAGGTCCTAGGTTTGACTTCCCGTTGGAGCGAATTTCAGGCTGAGGTTAAAAAAAATCCTCTCGTTCGTCCCCATAACCAAAGCACTGGGGGACACCGGCCCAATTCTCACTTGAGCGACGGAAAGCCACCGTGTAAGGGTGGGGGCGGGGGTTCGGGGGTTTTCTCGGCCGGATGAGAAGGTCCTTCTTCTTATTTGTAATGCTGCGGGGGCAGTCTTAACCCCCCGGTCGAGTTTTTTTTAAATGTTGAAAACAATCCTGCTTACCACTGCGCTACTTGCTCGTTTTTGAAGAAGTCGGATTCTATTTTCCTTTTGTTCTAATATGGCAAACATGGCATACTGAGTTTAAAAACGTTTGAAAAACTTATAATACACCAATCCAACCTCTAAAAACTGTGCTCCAATATGGTACGTTAAGATAGTTCAAATTTCATATAAAACTTAACCAAATACGCGTACATCTGAGTTAAACCCAATGGAGAATTTGGAATCAAATTAGCTCCCACATCCAACATTGTATAAAAGAAGAGCTCAATAAATTAATTAAGTTCCACCGTTTTGTATTATTTTTTTAACTATAAGCACCATTTCGACATTATTGGCATGAATTTCATTATTTATTTCTTACGTCGTTGCAAATCTTAAATATAGTCTTCTTTTATATTATATTTGTACCTAGAAGTTCCAAATATTATTTTTCGAACTGAGAAGGTTCCAAATGTTGGTAACGAAATGTTAAACACGGAAGCTGGGCACGAATGCGCGGCCTCTGTTGCCGTTTTTCCCGCGGCCTTTGTTTTGACTAAAAAGTGCCGCGCCGCTATTCCCTCCACAGGCGCCAACGAAATATTTCCGAGAGTGAATTGACTCTACTACCCATATGCGCACACAAAATTACTCCCTCTTTCCCATATTATGTCGCTTTTGGTTTCTGTGCCACAAGTTTGACTTGATTAGTAGAAAATACGTGCAACATTTGTAACTCTAAATAAATTTATTAAAAAACTATATTCAAAGATCTTTCCAATGATACCAATTATGTACCATAAATATTAATATTTTTTAATATATATTTTGTTAAAGTTATTTCTCGGAAAACGAAAACGACAGATATTTTGGGACGAAAGGAGTAACATATACTAGCTGCACTTCTATCTGCTAGCATATCAAGGGTAGCTTGGTAATTGTTGTGCCATCCTTCCATCCAAATAAAGGGTCAGCACCAACCCTAAATCCCCAATTCCCATCTCAGCCGCCTCCATCCACCACTCCACGCTACCCTGCACTGCCACCGCGGCGGCGTGCCGCATCAAGCTCCGGGGCTCCTGCCTCTAGGGCCGTCGACGTTGCCCGCCGCCAAGGCCGTCGCCGCCGCCAGGTCCGTCACCCGCCTCCAAGAACGGCGCCACCACCGTCGCTGCCTCCAAGAACGGCCTCTGAAGCCCGCGTACGCAGTGCGCTACCCTTAAGCGCACGCGGCGCAGCAGCTGCCGGTGCCCTCAGTTGCCCCACGCGTGGCCCCCTTTCTGATGCCACGGCTGCGCGGAAGAAGGCGGAGGTGCGACGTCCTAAGCCCTCGCGGCGCAGCTGGCCTGAGCTCATGGCCGCCGGGACGAGCGGAGCCCTTCGTTGGTGAGATTTTCTAATCTTGTCATTAGGATTAGGGTTTCTGGAGAGAAATTGGGGATTTACCCTTGGTTTTGGGCTTCGGTTTCTCTATTGGAAAACTCATCTCCTTTTTTTTTTGTGCTTGTCTCAGGTTAATTTGGATTAAATCGCCATCTATGCATAAGATTTGCATATTATCAGAGGCTAATTTTAACTCATGCAGTCACGTGCAGCCGCTGCCGGTGCTGTGGGATGTGCTGGTCGCCGTAGGACGAAGACGAGCATGTTCCAGCTGCTGGTGCTGCACAGGGAGGGGCTCGTTGGCTGCCGACTCTGCGAGACGCTGGTGCTGAACTGCCGACTCACGGCTTCTACTTTCCTGTGCATAGTAAGGTCTATTATGTGTGTTAGCTGTATAACCCATTTTTTTATAGAGATGCTCATGTTAGAAGGAGCTAAAGCTACAACAGAGACTGTTGATGCATTGAGAACTGGAGCTGCAGCTGCAGCGATGAAAGCAATGCAAAAAGCAAGGTTAGATGTTGCTCAGGTGTGGCTGCTACCATTTATTCAACATTTCTCAGCGCTAGATGTTGCAACTCGTGCTTGTCTGAATAGGAGTTTCAGGAAGTGCTGGGCACTAACCTTTTGGCTTGAGTTTCTGGAAAATGATTCGCCAAATAACTTGATGGATGTGCTCTAGTTTTGGCAAGTCATTTCTTTCGGTTTTTGAGTTCCTAGAAATGATTGTGTGCACAAACCTTAGGATTGTGAAACACAAAATACTAGTATTGCTTGCTGAGATGTCCATTCATGTAATTCTTTTGGTGCTTGACTTTGTTGAATGTGATGTACACAAAAATATGGTGTACAAGACAAATTGGATGTTATATGTATTAACCACCATGTGACATGTGACAATATATTAAGCTTCAATATCGGTTTCATATGCGCTAAAAATTGTATTTTTTTTATGTTTATATTGTCCTGTTAAACAGTCTGTCGCTATAAATACATAGATTATTGGATGATCTGTCGGTATATGCTTGGTAACAGAGCATCTGTCGTTAAAAAGTAGCAATGGACTATTTGTCGATATAAATATTTAGGGCAACGGATTGTCTGACGCTAAAGATTTTTAGCAACAGGACTTACACCGTCTGTAGAAGTTTGTCGCTATAACTTTTTAGCGTTAGATTGTCGCTGTAGCCGTTTTTAGCGTCAGATCATCCATCGTTAATCTTGGTGTTGTGGTGTAGTGACCCTTCAAATGATTCTCCAATTTTAATTTATACCATGACTTTGGGTCGGCAATTTGGTTGAGTAAAAATGATGTATTCAAAAGAACCATACCTAACTCATTTTTGCGAGTCATCTTCATGGGGATATATTGATTAGTCAATGGTCACGGCATTCTAAAGAGAAAGCAAGATTCTGCATTAAAGGACGGATGCAAAATGTTGAAAGTGATGGAGTTGGGGTTCTTCAACAAGTTTGGATGGAGAAACAAGAACCAGATTGAGGCTTGAGTTTGTAATTCTTGTGTCTGAGTTATATACTTCTGTATTGTCTTTTGGAGGAATGTAGTCTAAGTACTCAGTATTTCGACATTTGTATCAAAGGGCTATACTCATTCCCCGGTGGATGTGGAAAACCGGAATATTTCATATTCCTTAACCTAAAAATATATATCTAGCACATCAAAATAGTCTCACTAAATCAAACTTTAAATGTGCTTTGATAATAAATTTATTTGGTTTTGTAAAACATATTTGTGTATAGTCTTAGTAAAAAAGACAAATTTGACATACAACAGAACTAAAATAAATTACAATTTAGAACAGAGCTAGTAGAATCTTACGTGAGGGCCCGTGCTTCAAGTTCATTGATAAACTAACAATGTTAGCTAAAATTGTAATCTATAATAACATAAAAAGGTGTTTTTTGTGTGTGTATGTGTGGAATGGGTCACAAAAGTTTAGTTTTGTGATAGTATTTACCATTGCCACCACTGGTTTAGGTTCTGCATTATTATTTCTTCAACATTTTGTAGTGCTGACATTCTTACACGCATGCTTAAATAAATTTTGAATTGCTAATATAAGAGTGAAGTATTAGAATATACTCAATGTGTGGCTCCGTTTGTTCATCATATAATGGCATATATTCAGCAACATCCCTGAATCCAACATGTCTGATCCTTTAGAGCTTGTTTGGATGCACTCGTATCTACATCAATTCACCTGTGTTGGGAGTAGATTAGGGGCAATCATCTACTCCCAACCAAACTACACAAGTGGACTGATGTGCATACATTTACATCCAAACAAAGCCTCAATCATACCGTTACAAACTGGTGGATGCCAATTCTTATTTCAAACAAGGCCTAACTACACATATGGATGCCAGTTCTTGTTTTTTTCAGAGATACCACATGGTATCTAGGTCTGCCAGAAAGTGTCAACACTGTTCTTTCACGGCATGTAGTGTTTGGGCAAACCTCTTTACCAATGTGAGCCCAAGTGCACAACCAAATGTTGGGGGAACGATATGTCCAAATAAAAGGCGGTAGGTAGTATGTTAACGAAAACTGCAAACGATCTCAGTTCCTCGCCAGCTAAACTACCAACTTTCAACCATAAAGGCTAAATAGACATGATCGAACTTTAAAATCTGGAAGTCAAACCAGGCCGGCACTTCTGATTCATAAACTTACAAAACATGCAAGGAGGACACATTGCACAAAATAATAGAGGAACCATCAAGCTGGTCTTACAAGATTGTAGATAACTGGCGACAAGAATGGCAGTTTGATCTCATTAATCCAGTTCCTGAGCGCACCATTAATGATATACACTGGTCCCTGTATAAGAGGACAGGGATCCTATGCAGTTGCAATAGTTGCACCATACCATCAACAAAAGAGTCCAGATTTGCACAAATACTGTAGCAGCTCGTTTGGTGTGTCGATTCTAGAACTGATCAGATTATTGCGCGGTCCTTGTGGTGCAGTTGTAGCAGCAACTGCACCTATGATCCCTTTGACCTGTATGACTAAGTCAACTGATTGTAAAGTTAAAACCTAAAACTGCACCTACTTATCCCTTTGCCCTGTAAGACTAAGTCAACTGATCGCAAAGTTAAAACTCTATAATATTAATATACAGTTAGCATTTAGCAACAGCAATACAAGGCAAAACTAAGAGATTTCCACCTTGATGTTGATGTGTGTGCCTTTGTCGGATGAGTTAAAAGCAATAGACAACCAAACATTAGTAATGGTTTGTAGTATTGCGTAATATGACAATTTCATCGATTTCATCAGTTTCAAGCACAAAAAAAATGTGTCAAAATGTAGAAAATATAGATGAAAATCAACAATTCTTATTTAAAGAAAAAGTCAACAAATCTTGCCACTACAAAAACGATGCATTGGTTTAACTTTATCTTATCTGTAACAAATAAGCTGAACATCACACTTCCAACATGAATAAATGTGCACAGGCTTGAACATTTTCTTTTTGTGCCATGACCACAATTGAAAATTATGTGCACAGATGGGATGCTTTTGTGCAATGACCATATTTCACTAAATGATAATACCAACTTGTACTCCCTATGTTCTATTTACAAGTCCTTTTGGACATGAACACAGCTCATAAAGCTTATGGCTTATGCAAAAGCTGCAGATGAATTGATAGCATTGTATAATAATTGCAAAATGAGTTGAGTAGAAGGGAAACCACAAAACAGTAATGAGAGTAATTCTAAAGAACCACTTAAAACATATTTCACTGTTATAGGTCAATAGGCATATTCGGATGAGTTCAATTAGTTACACATATAGGGTTCAGGTAAATGACTCATGCAAAGTGACCTTAGTTACTACCATAACAACCAAGATTCAACCATTAGTTACCAGTGATTGCAAGAAAAAGTTATTTCAGCTCTAAACTCAAAATTTAAGCAGGCTAGGTAGGGAAATTAAACCATGGGCTGTTACCTGACATGAAAAAGTTTTTAGAAATCTTTATCCAGAGCTTTGATCGTCAATAAAGATTTTCCCTAACAGACCATAGAACACAGAAAGTAATACTGGCCAGTAAGCTATACAAAGTAGCCATATACACATAGTAAAGAATGGATCAAAGCTGTCTAAATTAGCAAAACTTTGCAGTAAAGAGATATGAATATATGTTTGTCTGTTTCCCCCAAACAAATCTCCAATAACCCATAACTAACTGTCTGGGTTAGCCTTCCAAGGCTTCACATGACTGGTGGAACTATTTTGGTGGTGCACCAAAAGACAGTGCAAGACAGTATGATAGACTTGATGCATGACAGTATTGTGGAAAGCCTCAAGGTAAATTAAATGCCTCAAGCTTGGCAATACAACTTTTACTGCTATACATGGATAAGAACGAACAATTTGTTAAAGAAATAAAAGTAATGAAAAACTGTTCACCATCATTTGCTCTTAGTAAAATTGGTATGAACTTGAATTTTTCAAATTTATATACAAGTTACTAGTTATTACTCCCTCCATCCACGAAAGGATGCAAGTGCCACTTTTCGAGGAGTCAAACGATTTGAAGTTTGACCAAACTTATATAAAAAAGTACTAGCATTTATGATACAAAATAAGTAACACTAATTAATTATGAAATATATTATCATAGTAAACCTAGTTGGAGACATAAATTCTAATATTATTCACTACAAACTTGGTCAAAGTTAAGCGAGTTTGACTTGCACAAATCCTATAGTTGCATACTTTTTGGGACAGAGGGAGTACACGCCCTCATTCCAAATTGTAGGTCGTTTTGGTTTTGTCCTAAGTCAAATTAGTCTAGCTTTGACCAAGTTTACCAGAGAATGCAAATGCATCAACATCTAGCACATCAAATTAGTTTCATTAAATCAACCTTGAAATATGTATTGATAATGCATTTATTCAAGAATTGTAAATGTGAATATATTTATCTATAAACTTGGGACAAAGTTAGAGAAATTTGACTTAGGACAAAACTAAAATCACTTACAATTTGAAACGGAGGGAGTAGTATCTGTGGCATAACTAAGTGTTACAAAAAAGTCAAAAAAAAGTGTTTATGCGTGTTGAGAAACCATATACCATTGATGTTAGTGAAATGACAAATAATAATGTCAGGCACAATGGACTCCTAAGTTTTAATTTAAATTTCAGGCACACCGGACTCTCTTAAGTGTTTGTTAATTTAAAATCCTCCCAAGTGTTGAATTTAAACTTAAGCATACATAGCATCATTCTACACAGAGAGGAAGTGGATAGCGTTATTCTCTATGGATCTGGTTTCTCTATATTGGTAGGAAAATCCTCTATTGATTTGAAGTGTCACTATTTCTGAATTGGTAGGGGGGGGGGATGACTGATGATCTGCAGCTGCAAACAGTCATCTACCCTGTTAGTCACCATCCAATTTCAATATACCCAAACAGCAAGGTAAATTGGACTCCAAAGCCCCTAAATGCAACCAAAAAAAAGGAAGATAATCAATGTGAGGTGTAGTTTGGACAAGTTAATATACATGTGCAACTGTACTCAAAACGAAACGAACATTTTACTCCATTTCAATTAGGTTTGTACAATTATCTTTCAGAATTTGTAAAAGATAGCCAACAGTGAGCTAAAGGATTGAAGAGATATTTAATGTCATTTGCATGGTTCCCACAGTCCAACAATTTGCCGGTCAACCTTGAAATTCAAATCAATATGAGTAGTGTTGTCTCAAAGCAGCAAATGGAAATCTGTATCTTCTATTAAAACAAACAATTCATAACTACTTTTAAAATAAATAAACCAGCCGAGGAGAAAGGAAGCTTTATATTAAGGACTTAGGGAAAAACTAGACATGCTATGGCAAGGACTAGAACTTAGATCGTCTAGGTGTGCATCCACACCCTTCACCAACTCAGGCAGGTTCAGTTTCTAAATCCTAATGTGTTGCTACTTATGAAGTAATCATTTCCTAGCAGTATCAAGTTACAAGGATTTGTTGATCTCTTACCAAAGTTTACCTTTACAACTTTCAAATATATGTATTAAGTCACTTGTTACCAACAGTAAGGAACTGGAGGGAGGAAATAAAAGCATCCGTATCTTCTGAAGAAAAATATAAAATAGTGACCTTAGCAAGCACTTTCTCGTCACAGGCAAAACTAACCATTATGACATATTATATCTCGATCATATAGTAAATGGGAAAAAGAATCAACAGGAACATATCCACATATGAAACATAGAATCTAACAACAGCAAAATTACAGCATAAGATTAACGACTGAAACAGGCATAACACAAACCAGATACAGACTATTTCACGAAAATAAGAGGATGTGAGAAGCCAGTTTGTCAGCCACCGTAGCAACTCGGCCCAAGATGGAGCACCTGGAAGCCGGCCCGGAGGAAGAAGGCCCAGGAAGCCCAACCCGCGAGTAACTGGCGACCAATGGATTTGATCCGTTCACCGCTTGCATGCGCGTATTGAGGCTAAGCCTCTGTAACGATATAGGAACGAGTATCCCGGAAGGGAGGGGGTCTGTCATTTTGTAAACTCTGAACCTGTTCCTAAAGCTAAGAACTCTTCCGACGCCGCATCTGGTTCCTCCTTCTCCTTCCTCTTCCTCCGATTCTTCTTCCAGTTCTTCCATCTCCCACCTCCGTCTCTCACAAGTGGTATCAGAGACACCGGTTCTCGGCCTCCAGTCTCGATTGGTGGAGCGTCCCGCCGATCTGGATCCTGCCCTCCTTCCCACCCACGACCACTACACCCGCCTTCAACGTCACCGTGGTGCCATGGGTCCCGACCAGAAGGCCCTGCTGGCCGAACTCGACAAGCGCTTTGATGTTCTGGAGCGGAAGCTCGATGCCACGGCGGCGTCCTCGTCCACCCGTCTGGATGCCTTGGAGTCTGCAGCCAAGGTGTTCGACGAATGGCGCCCGGGGGTCGACGGCGTCATCGACGACCTTCGCCTTGAAGTCACCAAGCTCGCGACTCTCAAACTGGAAGTGGGGAAGATCTCCAAGTACATGGAACGCTCCATGGTGGACGGACCGTCAGCGACTTCCGGGGTGATAGCGGCAGCGCCCGTCACCAAGTCTGCTTCGGCTCCTGCGTCGCCCTGCGCCTCGCTTCGCGACGCCAAGGCCGTCGTCACTCCGCACTTCAGATCCGACGGCTTCGGCGACGTTACTGGCTGCCCCGCGCCCATCTGTGGGATCTGCAGCCCCTCGGCCCAGCGGGCACCGCGTCGACCTCAGGAACCGGGAAGGTGCATTCGGAGTGGTTACCACTCTGATTCCACCTCCCGGCAAGGGTACGTTTCCTTGCCCGCCTTTTTCACCGCATCCATTACCAAGCCCTCCTCCCCGCCCATCACCTCCGCGTCCGCCTCACCCACACCCAGGGGGTTATTACGAGTCCAGATATCAGGGGGGTCCTGGGGGCGGCCATACCGGCAAGCTTCCCAAATTTGACTTCCCCAAGTTCGAAGGAGATCATCCCAAGCTGTGGATCAAGCAAGCTATTCAATATTTTGAACTCTATCATGTTGAGTCTGTGGTTTGGGTGCAAGCAGCCACTATGCACTTTCATGGTGCAGCCAAACGTTGGCTATCTTCTGTTGAGGATCAGCTTGCGACAATCTCTTGGTCTGACTTTTGTTCCCAATTGCTTTTGCGCTTTGCCAGGGATGAGCACGAACTCTTGTTACGTCGCTTGTTCCAGATTCGGCAAACCGGCCCGGTCACTGAATACATCAATCAGTTTGTTGCTCTGGTAGATGATCTGAAATCCTATACCCAACACCCAGACCCCCTCTACTATACCCAACGTTTTCTCGACGGCTTGCGCGATGACATCAAAGCTGTTCTTCTTGTTCAACGTCCATCTACTTTGGATACTGCTTGTGTTCTTGCTCAATTACAGGAAGAGGCGCTGGGACTCTACAAGAGGCCGATTCGGCGTCTGGATAACTCCCCCGCATATAAACCGGCATGGCCTAATGCCCTGGCGCTGCCTCCACCGCCAACAAAGCTTGCTGATGGCGACAGTAAGCGGCTGCCCCAAGCTCTGTCGTCCTCGGCGGAAGACAAGTTCAAAGCATTACGAGCCTCGCGCCGTGCCCAGGGTCTGTGCATCCGGTGTGGCGCAAAGTGGAGCCGTGACCACAAGTGCTCAGACATGGTGCAGTTACATCTGGTGCAAGAGCTGATGGATTTATTTCCGGAGTCTGTTGCAGCTGAGTGCTCTGAGGATTCATCACCGGACGAACAGATCATGATGCACCTCTCGGTGGCAGCGGTAGTGGGCTCAGCTTCCCCTAAGACTTTCAGCTTGTCCGGTCACATTCAAGGTCACCATCTGTCTATTTTGGTGGATTCCGGTTCATCCCACACCTTCTTGAACTCTGTTTTGGCTCAGTCGCTCACCGGCATCAAGGACCTACCGTCCCCAGTTCAGGTGCAGGTGGCTAATGGGGCCATTCTACAATGCACATCCTTCTTACCCGATGCTCATTGGTCAGTGCAGGGCTGCTCCTTTGTCACCGACCTTAAGTTGTTGCCTCTTTCCTCTTATGATATGATTCTGGGTCTTGATTGGCTGGCCAGTTTTAGCCCGATGCAAGTTCACTGGGCTCAAAAATGGATCTCCATTCCTTATGAGGGAGCTACAGCTATCTTGCTTGGAGATTCTGCCGACCTTCCGGTGGGTTCTGTCATTCAACTCTGTTTGGTACAGCCTCCGGCGTCTTCCCAGTCAGTCTCCTCATTGCATCCGGCTGTGTCTGCATTGCTGGACGAATATGCTCATCTCTTTGAGCCGATTTTAGGAATGCCTCCCAGCCGGCACTGTGACCACTCCATCCCATTGATCTCCGGGGCTCCACCAGTCTTTGTGCGGCCTTACCGGTATGCCCCTATTCTGAAAACAGAAATTGAGCGGCAAGTGAAGGATATGCTTCAGCAAGGTATCATTCAGAAAAGCACCAGTTCCTTTGCCTCTCCGGTTATCTTGGTCAAGAAAAAGGATCAGTCCTGGAGGTTTTGCGTCGATTACCGTCAACTCAATGCAATCACCGTCAAGGGCAAATATCCTGTTCCCATCATCGAAGAATTATTGGATGAGTTGTCGGGCAAAGCATATTTCACCACCTTGGATTCTGATCCGGCTTTCACCAAATCCGCATGAAATCGGGTGACGAATTCAAAACTGCCTTCCAAACTCACTTTGGTCAGTTTGAATTTCGGGTTATGTCCTTCGGCCTCACTGGAGCACCTGGTACCTTCCAAGACGCCATGAATACCACACTTGCTCCCTGTCTTCGGCAGTTTGTCTTGGTCTTCTTTGACGATATCTTGGTCTACAGCAAAACATGGGAAGAGCACCTCGTGCATCTACGCACTGTCCTTGATTTGCTGTCTACGGATCAATGGAAGCTGAAAATGTCAAAATGCTTCTTTGCTCAGACCTCGCTTTCTTATCTCGGTCATGTCATCAGTCAGGCCGGTCTAGGTACTGACCCATCCAAGCTAGAGTCCATTTCCTCTTGGCCAACTCCCAGTTCTGTCAAAGAACTTCGTTCTTTTCTTGGCCTTGCCGGCTATTACCGGCGCTTTGTTCGCCATTTTGGCATAATTTCCAAACCTCTCACCAATCTCCTTAAGAAACATGCCTTGTTCATTTGGACACCTGATCATGACTTGGCTTTTCAGACCTTGAAAACTGCCCTCTGTCAAGCTCCAGTGCTGGCTCTTCCTAATTTTGCTAAACCCTTCTCCATTGAAACTGATGCCTCGGACTTGGGTGTCGGTGCTGTTCTCATGCAGGACGGTCACCCCCTGGCATTCTTCAGTAAAGCCTTGGGCCCCAAGTCACGCGGCCTATCAACATATGAAAAAGAATTTATGGCCATCTTGCTTGCTGTACAACTGTGGCGTCCTTACCTGCAATTTCAGGAGTTTGTCATTCTTACTGATCAAAAAAGCTTGACCCAGCTCACCGATCAGCGACTGCATACTCACTGGCAACAAAGGGTTTTCTCCAAGTTGCTAGGCCTCCAATACCGCATTGTGTACCGCTCAGGTTCGGATAACAGAGCAGCAGATGCTTTGTCTCGGCACCCTTCCCCTCCAGCTGTGTGTGCGGCCGTCACTTCTTTGGTTCCATCTTGGATCTCGACAGTGCTGGCTAGTTATCGACAGGACACCTTTGCTACTGCCTTGCTGACCAAGTTGTCGGTGGACTCCGCGGCCCTACCTCATTATTCACTGCAGTCTGGCTTACTCCGTTACAAGGGCCGCGTCTGGGTTGGTGATGACCCGGCCTTCCAACAGCACCTGATTGCCCAATTTCACTCTAGTTCCTGGGGGGGCCATTCGGGCATACCAGTCACATATATGAGGATCAAGCAATGTTTTGCCTGGAGAGGACTGAAAACTGCAGTCAAGAATTTTGTCTAGTCTTGTGCCATCTGTCAACAGTCCAAGTATGATAGAACCAAATCCCCAGGCCTCTTGCAGCCACTGCCGGTTCCTGATTCGGCGTGGCAAGTGATATCGATGGATTTCATCGAGGGGCTTCCACAATCTCAATCCTTCAACTGCGTGCTGGTCATAGTCGATCTTCTCACCAAGTATGGTCATTTCATTCCCCTCCGTCACCCTTTCACTGCTGTCACAGTTGCCAAGTCCTTCTTCCAACATGTTTATCGCTTACATGGCCTTCCCACCTCTATCATTTCGGACCGTGACCGTATCTTTACAAGTCACTTTTGGTCAGAGCTGTTCAAGCTTGCGGATGTCTCCCTTTGCCGCAGCACAGCCTATCACCCCCAGTCCGATGGTCAGACAGAGCGGCTTAACTAGTGCTTGGAAACTTATCTGCGGTGTTTTGTCCATGCCTGCCCCAACAAATGGAGTCAGTGGTTGCCATCTGCGGAATTTTGGTATAATTCCTGTTATCATTCAGCTATCGGTCGCTCACCCTTTGAGGCGCTCTATGGTTATCTTCCGCGTTTCCTGGCTCTGGATGTTTCTGCTGGTTCACATCCGGACGTTATTGGCTGGGCTTTAGACCGACAGTGGATGGACCAGCTTCTTCAGCACCACCTCAATCGGGCCAAGCAACGGATGAAGAAGCAGTCTGATCAACACCGGTCAGAACGTAGTTTTGAAGAAGGTGATCTTGTATACCTCAAGTTGCAGCCGTATGTCCAAACTTCCCTAGCACCTCGCTCTCATCAGAAGCTTGCTTTCCGCTTCTTCGGACCATTCCGGATTCTGGCTCGGGTCGGATCAGTCGCTTATAAGCTTGACTTGCCTGCTCATTCGGCGATTCACCCGGTTTTCCATGTATCCCAACTGAAGAAGGTTGTGGGTGCCAATCACCAGGTACTCCCCACCTTACCATCTGACTTTGCCATACACTTGGCTCCCGAACAGGTTCTGCAGACGCGCATGGTCGTTCGTGGGTCTTCTTCTATACCTCAGGTGCTTGTCAAATGGAACAACCTGCCGTCGGCACTGGCTACCTGGGAAGATTTTGAAGCTGTTCGCCAGGAGTATCCACGCGCCACTGCTTGGGGGCAAGCAGTGTTCCAAGGAGGAGGGGATGTCAGCCACCGTAGCAACTCGGCCCAAGATGGAGCACCTGGAAGCCGGCCCGGAGGAAGAAGGCCCAGGAAGCCCAACCCGCGAGTAACTGGCGACCAATGGATTTGATCCGTTCACCGCTTGCATGCGCGTATTGAGGCTAAGCCTCTGTAACGATATAGGAACGAGTATCCCGGAAGGGAGGGGGTCTGTCATTTTGTAAACTCTGAACCTGTTCCTAAAGCTAAGAACTCTTCCGACGCCGCATCTGGTTCCTCCTTCTCCTTCCTCTTCCTCCGATTCTTCTTCCAGTTCTTCCATCTCCCACCTCCGTCTCTCACACAGTTGCATGTATAGTATCTTACAGCAGGGAGGATATCTAACTGGCTTCTCTGAGCCTCTTGATCAGGGTATCCAGAGATTTCTTCTTTGGGTTCTGCCTGGTACCCCTTGTCCCAAACGTTGAGAAATAACTCTCTGAGGTATCTCTAAACTTCTCTGAGATGGTTGAAACCTTTCTATAATCTAGCTTGTTATAGCTCTTTTCACGGATCACTGGATTTAGGAAATTCTCTGGACTATTGCTCATAAGAAGATTCACTAGCTGCCTGGCTTCCACTAGTGCACCCATCATTTCATTTTTTGCAGATTCTTGACCTGAGTCCACAAACAGGCTAGACATGCCCTCTGCAAATGTCTCAAACATTTTGAGATCAGTATCTATACCAGTGACCGCATTGGCATTGAACCGCTTTACTGAATCGTTCAAGAAGAGCTGGATAAGATGTGGGCAAGCACTGCCACAAGTACATGGCGGAGCTCATGGGTGTGGGTATCCGGGGTCGTACCCCCCACATTGAGCTTTGCAGCTACCGGCCTTCCTGCTGAGCTCATGGGTGATGGATGCCACCAAGGAGCGATCAGGTTGTACTTGCACGTGTCAACAAAAGAAAAAAAATAAAGAAAACTCACGAACGGTTAGACTCGAGGATGTTGCTGCTTCTGTTCTAGCTTTCTACGTATCCCCTCCAAGCATGTTGCAGCTTCTACTTCCTCAACATCCCTGCGATGTTACACAGATGACGCCACCTAGTTAATTTTGGTAGCCCATCTCTTATCTCCAGACTGTAGTGTCTATTACACTCAATAGCAGCCAGATAAGCTAGAATTTGTTTGCATTATTTTTGCACTCCATAATTGCAGAAAAGAAAATTCCTAGTTGCCATTTAAAACACTAACAAGTTATCCAATCACACGCTCTACCCCAAACTTATACACGTATGAAGGAACCAAGTCTCATGTACGCAAGCAATTGCACCTTTTACACAGAATTTGCTAATTAACGTACAACAACAACAAAGTTTTTTAGTCCCAAGCAAGTTGGGGTAGTATGCTAATCAACGTACCAAAGAAAAAAAAATATTATCAGAAGGTGTTTAAAAAAAATAGCTAGCACCAGTTTCTACCGAGGAACAATTAATGCAATGGTATTGATTTTGAAAATAGAAACAAACATTACTTTACAGCTCGCACGGCGCTAATTCAACAACAACCACGGCAATGCTACACGTGATTGCACACATTTGTTTCGCATAGAGTAGGGCAAGAGATTATATATTTTGCCAGAGTTCAACATAGGGCACACAAAAAAAATGCCCCAACGGAGACCTTGTCGTGGAGGGATGGTTAGGCATCAAACCTGTACACCCTCCGCGCCACAAGGTCCTCAATTCTTTCTAGGCCTTCGATTATGCAAAAGCTGTACCAAATAAACTTAATTGAGCCTATAATATACAGGCAGTATTGAAATGACAGTATTTGGGAATTCCCCGAACCTTCATGGGGCTCTATGGACTATGATACGAACTTGAGCCTTGCCTCTGGTGGATCGAAGGTAGTATGAATGAGTGATGGCGGGGCGAGGTTTGAAGGCTGCGGCACGGCGGCGGGGCGCCGTGGTCGCGTGCTAGAGGAAGAGGAACAGGGGCGGCGGCTAGGGCAATTCCCGGCTCCCAGAGGAAGCCGAGTAAATTGATTACTCTTGCTTAAAATCCAATAATCTCTTATTACAAGTATTTATACTTCTATGAATAATATTTGAGGTAAATAAACTAAATATATTTTTGGGCCCTTAGCCACTAATGGCCCTGCGCCTGGAATACTGTAATCCCGTCATAACATCTCTTCCCGCCCCGGCAAACAGCTCGTCCTCGAGCTGGACATCGGGGTAGAGATCCTTAAAGTGCTGTAGTGGCTCCCAAGTTGCATCATCCTCCGTGAGCCCCTGCCACTTGACAAGGAGCATCCAATCACCGCGGCGCAGCTGGGCACGCAGCACACGCTCAGGGGCGGGCAACAGACGGCCGTCCTGGACAGGTGGCATCGCCGCTGGGGCTGCAGGAGGGTCACCACTGGGGCTGTGGTAGGGTTTCAGCAACCCCACGTGAAAGACATCATGCAGGCGAGCCGCCGCTGGAAGCTGGAGGCGGTAGGCCACTGGACCGATGCGCTCGACGATCTGGAATGGCCCGGCGTAGCGCGGACGCAGCTTGCCCCTCGACAGCATGGCCAGGGCATGGGTTGGGTGGTGTAGCAGGCGGAGCAGCACCCATGCCCCCACGTCGAATGCCACCTCGCGATGGTGCTCATCATAGTGGCGCTTGGCATACTGCTGCGCCTGGAGAAGACGCTCGCGGACCTCCACCAAGAACGCGTCCCGATCCCGCAGCATGGTGTCGGCCGCCTTTGTTTGGGCCGCCCCCTCCTGGTGTGGTAGAAGAGGTGGCGGCACGTGGCCGTACACCACCTCGAACGGCGTCACTCAGAGGGCTGTGTGGAAGGAGGTGTTGTAGCAGTACTCCGCCCACGACAGCCAGTCCACCCACGAGCGTGGCCGGTCACCCGTCGCACAACGTAAGTACATCGCGATCACCTTGTTGACGATCTCTGACTGGCCATTAGTCTGAGGGTGGAATGTCGTGCTCAAACGAAGCTTCACACCTGCAAGCTTAAAAAGGTCACGCCACAGGTTGCTGGTGAAGACGGGGTCGCGGTCACTGACGATGGAGTTGGGGAAGCCGTGGAGGCGCACAATCCCCTCGAAGAAGGTGCGGGCGACCGAGGCGGCGGTGTACAAGTGGCTGAGGGCGATGAAGTGGGCGTATTTGGAGAAACGATCCACGACCGTCAGGATGACCGACTTGCCATGGACTTTGGGGAGGCCGTCTATGAAGTCCATTGAGATGTCTGCCCATACCTGCGACGGCACATCCAGCAGCTGAAGCAAGCCGGCCGGCTGTGTTGTGGGGGTCTTGTTGCACTGGCAAGTGTCACACGTGCGAACAAAGTCCTGCATGAGTGTTCGATCACCAGGAACGTAGAAGTCTTCACTAAGACGTATGAGTGTCTTCTGGGTGCCTTCGTGGCCTGCTCTGTGCGCCAGGGTGATGACCTGGTGGCACAGATCACCCTGCTCAGGAACAAAAATCCGCTTGCCATGGAGCAGGAAGCCATCAATGGCATGCCACGGTGCTGCAGCGTCCCCCGCGGCCAGCTGCTGCAGGAGGTCACGGGCGATCGGGTCCACAGCCGTAGCCGCCCGGATGTCATCGTAGAGACTGAAGGACGGCCCAGACAAGGCGAGCGCCGCGGCTGCCTCCTCATCGCGGTTGGATAGCGCGTCGGCCGCCGAGTTGAGGCGATCCAGCCGATATTCCACCGCGAAGTCGAACCCGAACAGCTTGCTGATCCACTGATGTTGGGGAACAGTGGACAACCGCTGGTCCAGGAGGAACTTCAGGCTGTAGTGGTCGGTGCGGACGAGAAAGTGGCACCCCACAAGTACGGACGCCATTGCCGGACTGCTTGCACCAGCCTGATCAGCTCGCGCTCGTATGCCGCCAACTTGATATGGCGGGCGACGAAGGGCCGGCTGAAGAAGGCCAGGGGTCCGCCCCCCTGGTGAAGTACGACGCCAAAGCCCACGCCCGAAGCGTCGCAGCCAACCACGAATGGGCGCTCGAAGTCGGGCATCTGGAGGACCGGAGCCGAGGACAGAGCCCGCTTGAGAGCAGCAAAGGCCTCGTCTGCCTCCGCTGTCTAGCTGAACGCCTCCTTCCGCAGGAGGCGCGTGAGGGGCGCCGCAATGGAGCCGAAGTCGCGGATGAACTTCCTGTAGTATCCGGCGAGCCCTAGGAAGCCGCGCACACCCTGCGGTGAGCGTGGCGTCGGCCAGGAAGCGACCGTAGCCACCTTGTCGCTGTCCATAGCGACCCCATCGGTGGAGATGACATGACCGAGGTAGGCGACGGAGGATGCCCCGAAGGAGCACTTGGACCTCTTCAGGAAGAGGCCGTGAGCGCGCAGAGCGGTGAAGACGAGGCCCATGTGCTGAAGGTGCTCGGTCCACGACGTGCTGTAAATGAGAATGTCGTCGAAGAAAACCAGCACGAACCTACGGAGGAAGGGGCGGAGCACATCGTTCATCAATGCCTGGAATGTCGTCGGGGCGTTGGAGAGCCCAAACGGCATCACCAGGACCTCAAAGTGGCCATGGTGGGTGCGGAAAGCGGTCTTCTCGACGTCCGCCGGGTGCATCCGCACCTGGTGGTACCCGGAGCGGAGGTCAAGCTTGGTGAAGTACTTCGCCCCATGGAGCTCATCGAGGAGTTCATCAACCATCGGGATCAGGAACTTGTCCTTGGACGTTTTGTCGTTGAGCGCTCGGTAGTTGATGCAGAAGCGCCACGACCCGTCCGCTTTCTTGACGAGCAGCACCGGCGCAGAAAACGGAGAGGTACTTGGATGGATGATGCCTTGCTCCAACATGGTGGCGCACTACCGCTCGAGCTCGTCCTTCTGCAGCTGTGGGTACCGGTATGGTCACACAGCTAACGGCGCGGTCCCCGACAGGAGGTGGATACGGTGGTCATAGGCGTGAGCCGGAGGAAGGCCCCACGGTGTGTCGAAGACGGTGCCATGCTGCAATAGAAGCTGGTCCAGCAGCGGATGCTGCGGGTTAGGAGCAACCGCGGCCAAGGACCGTTGCTGCGAGGGCGCGCCCGGGGCGCCCACACAGTGCCACGTCATGCGGCGGTCACCCTTCTGGAAGGCCATGGTCAGCCCCTCGA